ATTACGTACATAGATGAGTATATTTAGTTATATCTCAGTGTTGGTGGGATTCACATACTTTCGAAATCTGATGTGTCATCAGCCACAGACTCAGTAGTAGAACTTGAACCAAACTGAAATGCAAAATCATGTATTATACATCACTTATAGGACACTGACATTTTTGGCTTTTTTATTGTTTATTTTGTTTTATTTGAAACAAGGTCTCACTATTCAGGTTTGTTACATTGTTTGAATTCTCTTTTTCCTTTTTTGCTGAAGACGTTTACTGCTACGAGCTTCTGTCTTAGGTCTGCTTTTGCTACATTCTGTAAGTTTTGTTAAGTTGTGTTTTCAGTTATCTAAAGATAGTTTATAATTTCCTTCTTGATTTGATCCTCGATCCACTTGGTGTTCAAGAATCTTTTTGCCTAATTTGCACATAAGCTTGAGCTTTGAGTTTCCTGTTATGATTTCTACTTTCGTCGTATTGTGATGAAAATGATGCTTGGTAAGATTTTGTCTTTTAAATTTGTTAAGACTTGTTTTGTGACCTAACATGTGATCTATCCTGGAACGTTCCGTGTGTATTTGAGAGAAACACGTGTTGTACTGCTATTGGGTAGCTGCTCTTCTCTCTCTCCTCTCTCTTCTCTCCCCCCTCTCTCCCCTTTTTCTCATGGCAATCCCCTCTGCCTTGGCCTCCTGAATATTTTGATTATAGGCAAAAGCCACAACGCCCGACTATTCTGTATATTTTGGACCATTTTTTTTTCCTCATTGAGTTTATTGGTACATTTTAGGTATTCATTACAGTTACATTCATTATTGGGATCTTGTACCTTTACATGACAGGTCTTGGTTCTCATTTTTTCCCCTTGTCCCTGCCCTCCCTTCACCCTCTCCTGTCCTCCACCTTTACAAACACTTCATTTCCATTTTTTTTTCTCATATTTTTTCTTTCCCTTATTAGCTTTCCCCTACCCTTCCCATTTTCCCTACACCTTTAGCCCCTTTCTTCCTATTTCACATGGTCAGTTATCTCATTAGTATCTTATGTACTATTATAGTTTTTCACACCAGAGAAACTATTTGGTATTTACACATGTGTGACTTATTTATTTCACTTAGGGGTATATCCTCATATGTATCCATTTTCCTATGAATGAATCTCATTTTTCATTCTTTATGGCTGAGTAATATTCCAGTTTATAGAAAAGCCACATCTTCTTTATCCAGTTTCCAACAGATGGGCAAATGGGCTGTTTCCAAGTTTTAGCTATTAGAAACTCTACTGCTATAATGGACCATTTTTTTATATTGCTCAAATCCTGTTTCCTTATTAAACTTCTGTCTGGATATTCTATCCGTTATTGAAAATGGGGTATTGAAATCTACTGTTGTGTTGCTGTTAATGTTTGCTTTATATATTTGTGTACTCTGATATCATATGTGTATGTACATATATATGTATGTGTCTATATAATTGTTATATATTTCCAAGGAGTTGACCCTTTCTATCATTGTTTGTCTCATGACAGTTTTGACTTAATGTGTATTATCTGAGGTAAGTATGGTCATGCCTGTACTCTTACCTCTTTTAATTTTTTGTGTGAAGTTGGTACATGAATATAATATATCTTAATTCTTTTCACATCCATTTCCCTACCCTTCTTTCTGTGTCTCTTGGACTCCTTCCATTTTGCAAAAGATCTATTTCCCTGTTTCCTATTATCTTTTATTTTGCTCTTTGATTTATTATTTCAAATAGCCAGCTCTTTGATACATTAATTCTTTGCATTATTTTGTAGTCTCAATTTTGTTAAATTTTCCTTTGATCTTCATCACTTTTGGGGGGGGTACCGGGGATCAAACTTTGGACCTTGTGCTATCTAGGCAGGCAGGTGGTGGAACCACTCAGCTAAATCCCTGGCCCTCCTCTGATCTTTATGAATTTCTTCCTTTACTTGGTTTGGGTTTGGACTGTTTTTGCATTTCTAATACCTTGAAGGGCATCGTAGATCATTTATTTGAGCTTCTCTGTTTTTCTAATGTAAGCATTCATGGTAGTAAGCCTCTCAGCACTGCTTTTGTTTTGTCACATAGGTTTTTGGTATTTTGAATTGGCATTGGCATTTGATTCTTGCAATCGTTTCTTTCCTGTCCCATTGAGTGTTCAGAAGTGTGTTGTTTAGTGTCAAGCTAGTTGTAAAATTTCTGTGATTCCTCTTGGGATTTAGTATATACATGGCATGATTTTGAATTTTTTATATTTATTTATTTTAAAGTTTATTTTATTGGTATATTTAATTATACAGTATAATGACATTCATCATTGGAAATTCATACCTTTGCACACTCTATGTTGGTTCTTATTTTTCCCCATTCCCCTGCCCTTCTTTCAACCCCTCCATCCCTCCCTATCTACAAAGATCTTGTTTCTATTTTTTCATTTTATGGAATTTTTATATTTAAGCAGGTGTCACCAGCTAGTACATGTTCTCGTTAGAGAAAGTTCTATGTGATGCTAAGAAGAATGTGTATTCTGTAGTAGTATAGGGTGCTCTGTGATACCTGTTGAAGTGCATTTGTTCAAAGTTGTGGTTCAACTCTGATATTTCTTTCATTCTTTATTTGTGAAAGTCGGAACCAATCATCTACTGTGATTGTGTTGTTGTTTATTGGATCTTTTATGTCTGATGGGATTTGTGGTAGGAAGTTAGTGCACCTATATTTTGTGCATATATATTTACAGTTGTTACTTCTTCCTATTCAGTTGTTCCCTTAACTAACAAGTAGTGACCTTCTTTATCTCTTCTGATCCGTTTTAGTGTTTTTGTCCTTTTTTCCCGCTCAGAACAAAACTGTTGCTCCTGCTTACTTTTGGGATCTTGGTGCATTGAATATTTTTTTCCATCCTTTGATTTTTCAGTCTTTCTATTTTTTTTTTTTTTTTTTGGAGGATGAGTCT